ATTTATCATGGAAAAATTAAAACAAATTATAATTATCGTCTGATTTTTACAAAGAAATTTTCTGTTTAATTCCTTCAATCGAGTAAAAATATTTGTTTTCTATATTTTTTTATAAGCAGTTCAATTTTATTATAAATATAGTGGGATTTAAAATGTAATATTTTATTTTATAGAATTTCGAGATGTAACGCACTTTAGTCTCATCTACAATTGCACCGATTATTTTTGTGTCAAATTAAAGAAAAAATATCTGTTAACCAGTCGACATTAGTCGCGTGCGCATACGATAAGCGTATCACTTTGAAATGCTTCCGTCACATTTGATCTGGTGTTGGTGTTATCTACGGTTGATTTACCGTAGTGTTTAACACACTTAAATTCATATCGAGCGCTTATGTGATAACATCGTTGTTGATACCGTGGTGAAATCATCAACAATAACGAAAACACGATGTCGAGTGCATGAAAAACTATTTTTCAAATGTTCATTGCGCACTTAAAATCGGAATGCGAGTTACGTGATATTTCCAATGCGGGTTCAAAGAATGATTTATGAATTATTAGGCTCGAACAGCACATTAAATAACGAGGGGTGTGACCCGAACACTCTTTTGTTGCCCGTTTCGACTACGTTCCTGCGCAATATATCGTGTTCCCTACCTAGGACCACCGAACACCGATTGGAGCCTTTCGACAATTCGGTAGTTAATTCTGGGAACGGATACATTGACGATGAGGTGCGGAATATTTGTTTAGCTGCCCAACAGAGTGGCAGGCTTTGGTGGATTTTGCGGATCGAATAACAGTTCGCGACTGTCGAACCGTTACTCTTCGCCGGTCAACGGACATTATTCCGACACGGCACTGCAATTGGCTGACTTAGGCCACCAGATTTCGAACACCGGTGTTCAACTACGACGATAAGTAGAACTTTTTAGTGTTGTAAACCGCCTTGAGTCAATCGAAATCACGTTTATAAAATAACAATATAGGTATATATATATATGTATAATGATATGAAATTTCTATTGGAAAATAGAAACACTAGGTTTCACTGTGAACAAAAGAAACAACAATTTATGTTATTATTAATTTATATATAACTAATTTATATTACAACTAGCTTCTGTGTGTCTCGCTCCGGGTGAAATTCGTTTAATATTATTAATTAATTAATACTATTCAAAACATTTTTTATGTAGGTAAAATTTATCATACATTACTACCACGGTTACCACTTGTGATAATTATTACTATTGATAGTATACGTGTGGATAACTGAGACGGCTTTGGCGTCAGAAGTGTTTGCCATCTAGCAGACCTCCGCCTAATTGTTTTTTTTTAAAAGTACTATGGTACTATACTTACTATTGATATGTGGTGTCAAACATATAAAAACCAATTTATGTATAAAAAAAAATATCAAATAGCAGAGGACATACCACAGTGTATTTGAAAAATATCAAGCATAAAAATATTAACCTTAGAACGTTATGTGTATCCTCAACAGTAGTTAAATGTTAAATATGTGTATTATTTATTATATATTTAATAGACGGACATAAAATTTAAAAAAAGGTATAAATATGCATAAAGATCTTGATATTTCAATTGCAGAATAAAATATAAATTTATGATTACAAAAAACATAAGTGTCTTCTCCAGTAACTTAACCTGTAGCATAACGAAGGGACATTTTTATTATAAGTATGTTGAATACAACAATTTATAAGTCTCATAAACAAAAGATAACTTGACATTTTTCAAATATGGAATTATCAAAGTAAAAAAACATTCAAATACACTACAGTCGGTTCAAAGAATGAAGACAAAACGCATAACATATTCTTTCAATAATAATTAATCAATATATACAATGTGAGTTTGGATACAAAATACTATAAAAATGTGTTTTCCTTGATGTTGTCTAAAAAGAAAAAAAAATTTGTATGATAAGTAAATACTTTATAATAGGAATGTATAGATAAATGTTGGCGTTAGTTACGTTTTACACTCTAAACATTCTAAACAGGTCGCAATGTCTTTCTCACATTCAGAGTAAATAAAAGTACTCATCGTCAATAATTAAAAATTAAATAGAGGGAATATATAAAAATATAATATATAAATAATTTATGAAAGTGTGGAAGTTTTTCATAATCAGAGCATATAAGTATTTTTAGGCTTAAGAATATGTGGAGGTTATATATAAAAACATAAATAATTTATGAAAGACAGAGTGTGGAAGTTTTTCATAATCAGAGCATATAAGTATTTTTAGGCTTAATAATATGTAAAGGTTATTTATAAAAACATAAATAATTCATGAAAGACAGGATGAGGAAGTATATCATAATCAGAGCATATAATTAAAAGTTAACAAAGATAAACACACACATATATATATATATATAAATATAAAATATAAATAATCCATGTGAGACAGAGTGCGAAAGGAAGTTATTCTAATCAGAACATGTATGTACTTTTAAGCGAAAGATTATTTGAAGGGTATGTATAAAAATATAAATAATTCATTAAAGACAGAATGTGGAAGTTTCTCATGATCTGAGCATATATGTGCTTTTAAGCCTAAAGAATATATGAATATATAAAAATATAAAATATAATCTATGAAAGACAGAGTACAGAAGAAAGTTCTCATAAGCAGAGCATATAAATACTTATAAGGAAAAGTTTACAGAAGAGGAATACATATAAAAATATAAGTTTTATAAACATAATATAAAATAAATATTTAAAGAACCTCACAGAATACCACATTCTTTGTAACTCCATTGGCGTCAGTCGGTATATATACCTTGACAGATTCAGTGTTTCTCACCCTGGAGAATGCCACATACAATTGTCCGTGGCTGAACACAGGAGAAGGCAGGTATATTCCAACACAGTCGAAACTCTGCCTTGAGATTTGTTGATGGTCACTGAAAAAGCCAATCGAACAGGGAACTGCAATCGGCGTAATTTGAAAGGTTAGCCGTCAGCTTCGGTAGTATTCAGGAGAATACTGGGAATAATGAAGTCGTCGTCGTGCTCAGTAACATTGAGCAGCCTAGCTCTGAAATTCAAACGTCGAAGTTCAACAATTACCATTCTCGTACCATTACAAAGTCCTCCCTTGGCATCCAGGTTTCTCAGTAGCATAACGACAGCGCCCACCTTAAGAGCCAGGTCATGAAGAGTCCCGTGGGGTACAGTAAGTGAAAAAACTCTATCGGGAAGTCTGCGGCGTTCTCAGGGTCGTCGCACTCTATGGTATCCGTGCTGAAGTAATAACTGATTTCACTCTTGAGACGATTGCGGAGAATGCCTTCGTTCATCTGACGACACTCGTTGGTGAAGCACAAAATTACCTTATTCGCGTAGTCATTGACGTTGCGCAAGTTCATAATTTGCGGAATTACTTGTAATGCGTTCTCGTCGTTGCCGTATCTGTCAACATTACTGTTACCCAATAGGAGAAGCCACACTGAAAACTCTCTGTCACCGTCCGCTCGCATGTTTCGTGCAAGGGAGAACTGTTGCACGACGGGCCACAGCTCGTTGGATTTGATGCACGTGCCGACGATGTCACTTCTCATTCCGTAGGGGACGACCAGAAGAATCTACCTGAAATCACCACCTAATAAAAAAGGCTTTCCACCAAAAGGAAGATACGACTGCATGATTTGCTTGATTAACAATCTTAAAAAAAAAAATCATTATTGTTATTGTTATCAAATTTACAATTTTATTATCTTATCAAGTTTTGGTTATAATGATAATAATATTGTGATATTTAAAAGAAAGTATTTTCTTTACATACATATATATATAAACAATATTTCTTTGGTGCATACAATGGTAAATATATACTTTCTGAAGAATAAAAAAGAAACTTGAAATACTATTTAAATTTTATTATATGAATTAACAATAATATATTTTACATATCTGTACTCATGTTAGTTCTTCTATCACTTAAAATTTGTTTATAGAGACTAGATGAACGTTCAACATCAACAGATATTAAAGATGCAAACTTCATGTCAACAACTACATTAGGTGTAAAATATTCTGAGATCTTCATTGTTTCCACATAAAATGTTCCCAACTTTTATTAACATTTCGTAACCTTTATTTTTTTAACTTAATTGAGACACTTTAGTATTTTTATTATGTTACCTGTTTCACCAGGTGTATAGGTTAGTTTGCAGATAACAGTTAGTACAATCTCCAACTATGAAACAAATTCCAAATATTCTAAAATATGCTAAATGGGCTAAATATTCTCTTACCTATAATATATACAAAATAGCAAAAAAAAAACTTTTTTACAAACTCCGAATTGAATGAATCGTTCACATTTTTTACTCTCATACAACTACATAGACTAAGTAACGATATGTAATAACATATAAAACCCGTCTTTATTCATAAATCACTTGCAATAATATTCATTTTTTAGTTTGAATCATTATTTCATAAAAATAATTGTATTCTTTTTATATCCAATGTTTAACAAATAGTTTAATAAGTTGATTTATGTATCAGTGTTTTGTTTGACTTAAATTTTTAAAGTAAATAACATATTTTTTAAATTTATTATGTTTACATATATACATAAATTTTCAGCCGCTATTTTTATAATACTCGAAGAAAATAGTCACAACAATTAGATAGGTGGATAGTTATAATATGTAAAAATTAAAATTTTACAATTTGCCTTCCTAGGTACAAAGATCTAGGATTAGGCCTATTCTATAATATGAGTAATTAATGAATAACAATGATAGAAATTATTTGATATTTGTTTATTCTTAACACATCTTATATATATAAATTAATGCTAAACTATTTAAAATCAGTTTCAAAAATAACGATAAGTATATGGTTGTAAAAATCTTTTTAGGTACTTGTCACTTCTCTGAATACTTGAATCTGAGCTTCATTCAGAAAAAATGAATTCATCATAACTGTAATTTTTAAATACAGTATTAATAATCATCAAACAGAATACATTAAAACAATATGTTTATTCTGGAATGGAATATTGAAGTGAATATATACACCGGGGTATTGTTATTTAAGGTACATGAATTAGGTATGTTTATTTTGTTATAACAAAATAAAGGTAAAACAAGAATTTACAAGCAACTGAAAATGTAAATACAGAAGACAATTTAAGAAAAAATTTCAAAGTTAAATAACTGAGTTATTATGATATACATACATTGTACAAGAAATTTTAGATTTTAAAATATTAATTCACTCGATAAATGAGCTGTATGGTCACAAAATATTACAAAAGTAAATCTTCAGATGTAACAAAAGAAATATTTATAAGAATACTGAGCCCTATAAGCATAGTCCAAATTAGACACTTTTATTAGGTCAAGCCAAACGAAAAATATAAAAAGTATTATTAAGTAAAATTAATTATTATTTCTTATAATATAATTATAAAAATAAACATCAACTGTCTAAATTTAATAATAACTAATAAAACCAATTATTCAAATACAATAAACTTATTATGTTCTATTATAATCCTTATTTGTACCAAATGTACCTATATACTATATTATATTATAGTATTATATGAAACGTACAAATGTATACGTTTACATCAAGGCTGTAACTGGGGGTCCAGACCTCTGGACCCCCCCCAAAATTTTCAAAAGTAGAAACATTTTAGCGGTGAATATAGTTTATTAACAATAAATTGTATTAAATAATAATGTTAGACCCTCCCCCAACATTTTTTTTCCAGTTACAGCCTTGGTTTACATGTATAAATATATTATTTATAATTCCTATATAATTATTAAAATATATAATATATACATATTTTTTGTTGGTATAAGGTCAAGCCATGACCTGACTGGCCTGACATGTAGTTTCGCCTATGCCTAAAGGAAGAATATATGAGATTTATATTAATGGGTATTATTTATATAGTAATGTTTTGGTTACTTACACTTGAATAATAATGGTAATATTCCTGATGTTGGAAGATTAATTTCTTAAACACTTGTGTTCACCAGTTTTTTAGTAGTATAATTGAGTTCTGCTATTTTGTATTCAACAAGGAAACTAAATTTTTATAGTATTTGTATTAGTTACATAACATAAACAATTGAGGCACATAGAGCCAGAACAGCCTAATCCATAAAAACCAAAATCTGTGGAACAGCTCTTTTCTTCCAATAAGAATTTAAAATTATAAACATACATACAATGATTTGTAAATTATGAATTAATTATAATTTGTAATTTATATTTCCTGTGCTCACTTTTGTGATAATAGATACTCGTATATTACATGATCGGACACAATATCACCATTATTTTAGTGATGGTAACCTGTTATCAATTCTAAAAACTGCTATAAACTGCTTCTGTTACTATCGAAATAACAGTTAAAATAAGTTACTAATATTTTTTGTTAAAACATTATATCTAACACAATTTCTACGTTTATATGATAGCGTTAAAACGGGAAATTAAACCGTTTTGAAATTAAGACCCATTAACGTCATGTAAACACTTAAAAACGGTTTAAAAAAATGTAAACCGTTTTAAAAGTTAAAACGCTCGCGCTATGTAGTTTAAGAATTTAAAACCGTTTTATATGCTCAAACCGGATTATTAAATGTACATATAAACGCGGGATATGTTTTGCATTAATACGTTTATCACAATTATTGTGATTCATGTTATCAGTTATCACTTATCAGATTTTGTTTTATATATTTATTATTTGATTATATTAATTTTTATATATTATTATTTGTATAACTTAATAATAATTTAATAAGAACAAAATAAATGCAAAATTATAAATTTATTATAAAAATATATTATGAATCAATATATTACTTAACAGATATCCTCCTGGAACAAACGACCAAAGTCATGAAGTAAAAATATTAATTTTAAAACGGTTTATAAAATATTAGCTAAACCGATTTAGTATATATTTGTATATAAACATCTAAAATTGGTTTAAGCTAAACTGTTTTAAATAATTTTAAAACGGTTAAATTTTAAACTGTTGTAACGCTATCATATAAACGTAGTAATTGACACCTATTACCATAGATTTATATATTATACCGAATATGCATAATATCATACTGATGGAATTTTTCGTTCCTTTTGTGGAAATGTTAAAATTGTTAGTTACAACTTAAATAAATTTACTATTCCAAAAAAACGCATTACTTTATAATATAAAGATATTATAATATTAGATATTATCTACCATCTAAATTGGTAAAAAAATATTACTCGTGACTTGTTACGAACGGGAACGAACAAGGTTTAGGTGTTATTCTTACTTGACATAAAAATAGTAGGTTTACACTCGTGCGCTTTTTTTGTTCGTTTGATGCATGGGTAAGCGCACCACGAGTTGAACAAAAAAGCTTACAATAGCGCATGCCCTTTCGAGTTGAAAGGCTAAATTTTCCTGATGCATGCTACAACACTTGGTATGTGTACATAAACTTATAAGGTATCGATTATACGAGTATATGAGACATACATTACAAATTTTTTTTATTATGGATCATTTTATAACGAAATCAAATTACGCATGACTGTTAATACTGAATTGGGCTTTTTTCGGGTTCATATTTAGTGAAAAATCAAATAAAAGAAGCGTAACTTTTAAAACACAGACAGATGTTAAAAAGAACTACACAAAAGTCGATTCGAAGTGGATCCGACATTAGATTAAAAAAAAAACCACAAATATTAAGGATTCCCCCGATTTAAATATTACCAAAATTTGACTTGTAAATGTTGAGCTTGAATTAAAGAAAAAATTTGAGTCGCCCGCCCCATAGAAGTAAATATAAATACGCCCTTGTTACAACGTAAGGTTTTCCGCGATTAATGGGAATCCTTTCAACACGCCGTGCTTTTTATGTTGCATTTTACTCTTTTTTTTCTAATTTTTTTTTTTTTTACCCTGGGGGGTTTGAACCCCCCCCCCCCTTTTCCGTATGTACGCCACTGCTTCAGAGTAAATAACATTTTTTGTTTTCAAACCCTCTGGCATTTTAATAACAGATTTTCCAATTCATCTATTCTCGATAATCCCAAATGTATGCGGCCAATTATAAAATTCAGAAGTGAAAAAGAAAACAAAATAATGTAAAAATAATGCAAAACACTTAAGTCACCGGGACAGAGTTTCTAATTCGACACTCTGGTATCTATAATCATACTGATGTGCCAATGCGCCATATGGTTAATAGTTTGTGACTGCCGCTTATTTTAATAGTAAAATAGAAAATCAAACTGATACAACCTTGAATCACACTTTTGTTATAAACTATATTGAACATTATTTATAAGCACTTATCAATTGAATGATTAATAATTACGTTAAATAGGTAGGTTTAAAATAAATAATAGAATAATTAATTAACATCGTCCATTTTACCATTAGATTTTCGTTAGATACTATAATTTTATGGATGTTATACGATGTACATACAAAAGTGGTTGGCCACACTGGATAATCAGACGCCGCTCGTCAAAGAACATTTCACCACCGACGCTGTTGCTGGTTTTTCTCTGTCATCTATGTTCGAAAACTGATAATCGCGACAGTGAAAATCATCAACGCAGCTATAGTCCTTAGTTTACCGCTCGGTGCTCAGCTAAACTCAACATGCCTAATGTGTCAGTTGCCAATGCCGCCGCTATCACCAAAAACATAAACACGGACACAGCTACTAATACCGTCACCGCAATAACGACCATCACTGATACAGATGCTACTACAGTCAATATGTCTTCTCCGAAGGAAACTATTATCAAAACGTTAACAGAGCGGAATTCTGCATATGATGATTTTGAATGTGATGCACAGGAACAACAGCAGGCTGACTTGGTAATACTTACTTGCTTTTGTCACATTTACGTATAATGGTTTTCGATGCATTTCTAATTTTCTGTTGAGTGTCCAGTAATTTAAATTTTAGCTCTAAATCATATCATTAAATGATAAATGCAGTTGTATTAATATTATAGGTACGCAACGTTTAATGCAATATAATTGTAATATTGAAATTTGTGTAGCTCACATATTATCGTATGATATTCCCTACTACTTAAATACTTAACTTTAGGTCATATTGAAACGCATATTCTAAAGTCTAATTCATATTTTTAAAATTTTTGTTTTGTAGTAGTTACTATTTTTTTCAATTTGGGTATATTAATTGCAAGTATGCGTTGAATTTTATTTATTTAATGTTTTCATACCTCCCATAACTTAGATTAAAACTGTAGAGTATAATGTGAATAAAATAGAATAGAAAAAATCCATATATTTTTATAAATTTATTCATTCATACATAATTCTTAAATAAATATACATTTTGTAAAATATCATCAGAAAAACAACACTAATTATTTTTCATTGTTTTAAAGACATGTTATTATGCATATGTTAAGGTTTATTGGTCATAATTAAGCGCATATTTTATGCCTAGTGCTTTAAAATCTGTCATAGTTCTTATTAATAATTGAAAGAAAATAATATTTGTCCATTTACTAACTTCTATACATTTTTTTCTTATTCTAAATGACTTCAAATTATGGAACTATTTTTAATTCAGATTAAGTATTTATATTTTGGTTTACTTTGTGTACTTAATTTATATTTTTTTATATTAATTTTAGCAAAAACCAAGTACTTCTGATGAACTTCAATTACCAATCCTTTCTGTTTATACATTATCCAGAATTTGTACCATTGATCTTACTGATGATGATGATAACAACACTTATAATAGAGTAAGTTTGTATAAATCACTTATAATGACTGATAATTAATTAATATATGCAAATAATTTGTAATTTGTATAAAAAAAAAATATATTATTTTAATGTTTTGATTACTTATATTTTTAATTTATTCTTTATAAATTTAATTTTAGCAAAAGTCAAGTATAACTGATGAACTATGAATACCAAAAAATGTATCAATAAAATCGGTTCTTCTTTCTATGGCCACTCTAATGAAAATATAATTTTATCATAATTTATTTTCTAATGTGTGATTATGAGTTAATTTTTAATTATAGCCTCCTGCTCCTTTACCTGTTTTTTCAATACAAGAAATTGTATCCACATCAAAAGAAATTCCACCGCCACCAAAATTGAGTGTATTACAAAATCAAAAACATAAAGGTTTTTTTATATTATTGCTATTAAATTCTATATAAGATTTTTTTATAAATTTATTAAAATTTTAACATATTAATATTATTACAGTGGTACAGCTTACTTGGAATATGGATCTAAATGAGACACATGCTGAAATTATTTTTTATCAAATATTTATTTATGAAGAAGTATCTTCAGATCATCCTAGTAGTGATCTATGGAATGTGATTGGAAATCTTAATGCTCTCCCGTTACCAATGGCTTGCTTAGTATCTAATGTAAATGCTATTTTTATTAAATTAAAAAAAAAAACTAATATTAATTAAAAAAAATTTAGATTCTCAATGGTGAAAATTATCACTTTGCAATAAGAGCTATGGATGTTTTCTATCGTTTTGGGCCATTTAGTTCACCAGTCTCTATAACTATATCATTTTAATTTTTATATTGTAATAATTGTTTTAATGTTTTGTTATTATTTTTAAGTTATTTGTTTATAACTACATTTAGCTTTAAATGAATTGACCATTAAAAAAATGTATTCTTCATTGTAGCAATTCATTTTTAATACGTTAATTTCCCCCTTAATATTAATTTATTTAACTTAAATATATATATATATATATATAATTAAGAAGATTTAATAATCAATAAATATAAAATATTTAGTTGTAACATTGAGATAAGTTAAAAAAATACTATATTTACTTTTAATATACATACTACATTTTATTATAATGATAAAATAGAAAAAAATTTTTTTGATTTCCTTATAAAATTAACCTATTATTCTATAAATAGTAATTTATTTATTATTTGAAAATGAATTATGATTAGTTTTTATTTACTGGTTGTTGCATAATATAATTTTCACGTAAGATATTTCAATACTTGCATAAAGAAATTAAGACTTCGAAGACAGTGTTTTTTTTCTGTTAAATTAGTATATAGTATATAGTAGTTAAATTCAAGTTTGATTAATACATACATTTTTGAATGATTATACGAATTTATATTAAAACCTAATAAACTAATTAACAGACTTTTAAAGGAGTAAAAATTAATTTATGAAGCGCATTTTTTTTATTAACTATTTTGAAATGAGTAATATAGAAATATGAAAATTGAATTTACTAGTTAAAATGAATCATTATATTAATTAGTAATTACTACAATAATATATAATTTACCAAAGGTCAGGTTAAAATATTATTAACAAATCGATTGAGAAATTATTGAATACATTTTATAGAATTTTAAATGTAAAACTGTAAACCTTAGAGTTATATCATATATAATAATGATAATATATTAACAGTTTTGACATTCTAAATATTATGTCGTGTCATAGATTCACTGGTTTTATCTTTAAAGCATCAATCACATTTTGTACCGCAATACATCTCATTGCACCTAAGATCTACATTATGTGAACTTAAATATCAAATTAATTGAAGTTGTGGTGTCACTGCGGTGGCGGAGTCGATAAACAGCGAAGATGGTGCCGGTAAGAACGGAGAGTAGTGGTGACGGAGAGGTGGTGTTAATCAGTTGAAGGATCAATCTCCACTAGATAGCAGTGGATTATTACTAAAGAGCAATAGTGCTACGTACTTTGGATGTAAAAAAAATTATCAGTGGAGCGGAGAAGGATCGTGATAGCGATGGTAAGCAGTGGTGCGCCCACGCGCAAAGAGAACAATATGCACGATCGCCGCTTGTTATTACCCATAGCTCCCTCCGTACGTGTGGCTCCGGCAGACGTTTCGCACTCGCTCGTCGGTAACAGGGTGGTACAGCATGTGACGGAGAACGATCGCGTAGTACGATATAACTAAAGAGCGGATTTAATTGATATTGCAACTTTTATTAATACCTAATAAATCAAATCTGATCAAATATGTATGCGAATCAGATTAATTACAGTCTTCCTATTTAATTCAATAATGCAATTTTTTGCAATTTTCAACGATTTTGTAATTTTTACGATTGTTGCAATTTTTTTGCAATTGTCTACGATTTTGCAATTATTGCAATTTTTGTATTCATCACATGATAAAATATACAAATTATTATTTCCAAAGTGATCTTACAAAAAAAAAATATAACTACGACGTAAATTTTTACATGTAGTAAAATGTAGTTTAGGATTTTTAAAATTATATTTATCTAGGTTATTCACAAAATGTTTATTTAGATACAACGCCTATTTTTTAAGCTATTTTAAATATGCATCGATAACAAGTGTCGATGTTGAACGTACGTACAGTACAGTAGAAGCCACGGATAATTGATACAATCGCGTAATTGAAACAAAATGTATAGGGACGGACCGGCCGTATATTAGAACATTGAAAATAAATCGGATTATTGAAACATCACATCGGTTATTTGAAACAATTGGGCGAAGATCAGTTGACGTACCTATACACCGTTTATCCGTGCGATAACCAATGTAATTTCATCTTATCTTTGATGTCATTACGTTAATATTTTGACTATGCGTCCTATCCGATGTTTGAAGCCCGGTTTCTACTTGTCATATTTTATATCCGAGCCACGTCCGTGTGTTTCGGATCCGTGCGTCACTGATACGAATTCTGACGTTACAGTATACATTGTCAATGTCTGCTTATTTGCCTGCTATATTTATTTTTATAATTTGTTAAAACTAGTGTTCCAAAAAAACTTTTAATGTCGAGTATATATTTACAAATTTCATTGTCGTATCATCAGACCACTTTTTTTCGGACATTTTCAATAAATATATTATTATATTATTTAATTACAATAATATTATAATATTATATATTACTATGATATACTACTATGATATTTAAAGGCGCGTACACACGAGTGAACATTGTGCGACGTTCGAAGTGAGCTCACTCGAACGCGAACGAGCACGCGTGAACATTCGGACGAATTCTGTTTGTTCGTGTGGACACAAAATGTATGTGTGACGCACAAAATATACTATGCGTAGCTGTTCGAGCCCATTCCAGAGTCGAACACAATTATTAACATACTTTAGTATCGAAACGTAGTGTCTTGGCTTAAATTCTAGATTTTCATATTAATTATTAATAATTATGAATGTTTAATTTTTATCTTTTCCAGTTCCATAACATTTTTTTACTTTCGCTTTTTCTCTACGATATAAACCCTGTAAACTAAGAATTTTTTTTTTAAATTTCTTCAACCGGTCTTTTCAATTCTTTTGCCAAGTGACACCAAGCATCATGTTTTTGAAAAATATGATGGGTTCCACAACACTTCTTGTAATCTAAATTCTTCAATTAAATTCAAGCATTCTTTGCTATCCCAATCCATTTTCAAATAATTAATAAAAACAAAACAATAAAAAGTTAAGTACTTTTGTACTAATTATTTTAACGCACGTTTGAATTGATTTACCGTCCAAACGACGACACGAATGCTCGCGGTAATCCTTTGAGCATGACTGAAAAACCGACAGTGATCGGCTCGCCGTGCGAGTCTATTAGAATTATTCAGCGAACGCTCTAGAACGTTTGCGAATGCTCGCGAACGTTGTCTACACGGTCGCATGATGGGTCGCACACGAACGTTCGTGAGCATTCGTTATTTTTGTTCGTTCGTGTACGCGCCATAATATGGTGAAATGTAATATTATATAACACTATCAACTTTAAATTCAAGTGCACTAAATGATTGGTTAATTGATGCTACAGTTATATTTATTATCGGATGAAATTTCGTTCGATAATTTTGATGCATGTCCGTGGCACCACGGATACGATAATTGATTCGTACGAGATAAACAGCACGAACGTGAACGCGTATTCACAATCAAATAATCCTAACACGGACGTGGCTCGGATATAAAATATGACAAGTGGAAAACGGGCTTAAGAATAATGCTCTTTCCTGTAAGTTAGTTCATCTTCGGCGTGCGTACGTAAAGGTGATTAGTGTTTCATTATTGGTATTTCGTTATTCTAACAATATGAATCTAAAAATATCTAAACGCCAAAATTCTAAACAGAAGTGCGAGTTATTAAAATCATACGACGTGATGCCAATTTCAGATATTTATAGTTTTAGGCCAATTGGAAGGTAATTGAGTAACTAGTTTTAAAAATAAAAATATCACGAATGAAATTATCATAATTTCACTACTAACAAGATAATTGTATTTTCTTCGAATATTTTTGATATTTCAATGTTTATACGATTCTTTATTTGCATATGAATACTTAACATTTTTACTATAAACAAAAATAATTAAAATAAATTTAATTTCTCATAAATTAAAATGATCTACAAGTGAAGACCACGCGTCTAAATAAGCAACAATATACCTCACGCCTAACGAAAGGTTAAAGCTCACAAACACGAGGAAGCACAATGAGAATACCCTGTAAAGTACAATAATTGTATTAGATAAGAGTTACACGACTATATTGTCCTATTAATTGATATATTTGAACTGCCAAGGACAATTATCGAAATACACTATTCAATTTTTTATAGATTCATTGATTATAAAATAATTTTTAAATTATAGTTGTATGTATAACTAACAAAAAACTAATACAAATATAATGGACAAATAATTTATAAAATTTATGAAAGAGCGATGTATAATGCCATATTTCGAATAACGTTAAACAGTAAGCAACTTGATTATATTATAAGTAAAAATACAAAGCATATATAAAATAATTTTGAAAATCATGTGTTTTATTTATATCGCTTAAAACCGGTAGGCAATATGCATAAAAACTAGGCTTTTTGCAAAATATCTGCATTATTCATATTACCGGTAACATATACACTATTATATTCAAGTGACCCTTATAATAATTATAAGAACAAATATTGTTCTATCACAAGTTTAAAGCTTTTTCCAACACGTAGTTTACATGTACGCTGCGTGTATATCATTTTTAAGCAGTTCCATGTACAATATTGTTATATTTTATGGTACGAGTTGGTTTTTTTTTTTTAACTTTTTTCAGTTGCACTCCTATTCACATACGTGTTATGATAGTCAAATTGTGTCACTAGATTTACGAGTGATTTGAAATTATCAATTTAAATTTGGCGAAATTAAAAATTGAATAGGCACGTCTTATGATGCGTGGTGTTTACGCCGTACCGTATGAAAGGCGCAAATAACAACATCCACTTCAAATTTAATAAATAATAATAAATATGTAATAACGCTGCAACATACATCTTAATGGGCGCCCTTACGAAAATGCGTACCAATATTAACACCAAAAATAGTAATAATAATAATAATTAATACAAAAGAAAACCTGTCATACCGGGCACCGGATACAATACCACACGACGATCAACATCCGACGACCGACTAACATTGACCATCAAATATGAAACAGCAACCACATATGATGCGTATTAACAGTGGCGGCACACAGGCCCGCCGGA